ATCTAATAACATCATAAATTATTACACGATAAATATTTTACGATAAATTTTATTACGACAATCATTATCGTTATGATATGCATTTTCAATTTAATGCGATGTATATTTGTTAGAATATCAAATTTTACTCAAATGTTAACGATTTCGAACATTTTAATTTTCGCAACTTTGGTTCGTAAATATATACGGTGAGATAATTCTTTATTTCATACCTTTTGGTTTTGAAAGTTTTTCCGATACAACAAACCCTTAACTTAAACTTCATATATAACTTGACTACCTAGAATTGCACGAAAAAGCTTAATATTAATTAAATAATATTAATATTAATTAAATAATAACAATGGGGTATATGTACTCGATTGTAATTTTACATCAGATGTCCACTTGGCTCTGGTATAACCTAACTTATTTTCTTTTCGTAAAATAAAAGCATCCTTCTTACTATCAGCGACACGGCGAAAACTTTATCCTCGAAAATCGAACCGTCTTTCTTGAAGCGAAACATAGAAAAGCGGGAACAATGGCGATGCATCAAGCAACGTTAAATTCACGGCGGCGGCGGCGGCGGCATGAAATAGTGGCGGGATGCATATGTATCCGAGAATCGGGACAGAATCATTCAAAGTTTCCTTGAAAGTACAATTGCGGCAGATGTTTGGACTTCGACAAACATCCAGGCCGGAAAGAGACGACGCGACGGGCGGCCGGGTGAACGACTCGAACTAAATGGGACTGGCAGTCGATATTCCCGTTCCTGAAAAAAAGGAGAAGCTTTAGGATATTCTTTTTTATCTACCGGAATTGGAAATCGACGGGATTCTACGCTGTAAATCCAGTATTACATTTTCGCGTTACGTTTCCATAGAAGTTCCCAATATCTGCGGAATGAGCCATCCGATTCATTGATTTTGGATTATTAAACTATCGGATTGTTTGGAGAGATCGGTAGCGAATTTTAAAACACCGAAAATATTCCATCTATCAACAAGTTTATTCAATAATATTGATTCCACCCTGTTCAGTGACCTTTCGCTACCGCGTTTCAATTTCATCGCGCCATTTTCATTCTTTTCCTTTTGCACATTTGTATGCCAAACGATTCTTGCTATTTTACTTGTTCACCTTCGGCTTTTTAATCCCTTTAGGGGATATTCTAGTATAAAACACATTTTTTTTTTAGTTTTTTTTTTGTATTTTTTATGAAGAAACTATGCAACTGGCGTTTCTCACATATATTTGTTACTCTTTTAACAATATTTATAANATCTAATAACATCATAAATTATTACACGATAAATATTTTACGATAAATTTTATTACGACAATCATTATCGTTATGATATGCATTTTCAATTTAATGCGATGTATATTTGTTAGAATATCAAATTTTACTCAAATGTTAACGATTTCGAACATTTTAATTTTCGCAACTTTGGTTCGTAAATATATACGGTGAGATAATTCTTTATTTCATACCTTTTGGTTTTGAAAGTTTTTCCGATACAACAAACCCTTAACTTAAACTTCATATATAACTTGACTACCTAGAATTGCACGAAAAAGCTTAATATTAATTAAATAATATTAATATTAATTAAATAATAACAATGGGGTATATGTACTCGATTGTAATTTTACATCAGATGTCCACTTGGCTCTGGTATAACCTAACTTATTTTCTTTTCGTAAAATAAAAGCATCCTTCTTACTATCAGCGACACGGCGAAAACTTTATCCTCGAAAATCGAACCGTCTTTCTTGAAGCGAAACATAGAAAAGCGGGAACAATGGCGATGCATCAAGCAACGTTAAATTCACGGCGGCGGCGGCGGCGGCATGAA